GTAGTGGAAGAAAAACACTTGGCACAAAAGATAGGAGACCAACTCTTGTCATTCAGTAAGGGACTCTGAACGCTGTACCTGATGGGAGTCTCCCAGTCTCATCTATGACATGGAGTTACTATCGCTCGGATTTGCTATGAAAAATAATGTCTCTTTAGATGGCTTGAGGAACTTGAAGTTCATATGTAAATGCATATGATGTTATTGTTTAGTTCTTGAATGGTAGTGGTGAGTTGGTATATTACAAAGTAAAGGGCTCCCCAAGTCATTAAATGTTGTAGAATCTGTTTTCTTGAGAGCTTGTTTGGAGGCTCTGGCAGGGAGAGCAGCTGTTCGTATACCCTTGACCAAAGGACTGTCCTCTTCTATCGAGCGTGCTGCTGTGGGAGAGACGCGCTTGGGTCAGTGAGGGAGGAGGGGACGCTGCCCCAGCCAGCCAGATCAGCCGAATCAACCCTGGCGATCAGTGAGGTGACACATAATTGCAGCCAGGTCGTCCTCACATCCAGAATCCATTTTCTTAATGATCCATTGGTAGAATGGATCCGGCTTTTCCAGGTTTAGGCTGCTTACTGTTCTTGTTTAGGGGCAGACGGACATCTTTCCAGTAAAGTGATGAGTTTGCCTTGATAGAGTGAGACCTAACACAGACCTGGGAATGGCAGGGGATAACTCGTGAGAGGAGTAACTTTGATATCTAAGTTCAGAGATAAAGTTTTAGGAAATATGGGAGAGAGAATCAAACGATGTGAGACAGACAGACAGAATAGCTGTGCTTGGAACTGAGGAAGCTGCTTAGATGTTGAGTCCCTGCTGCCTTAGAGACAGATTCTTCAGTACAGGAATTTATAGCTTATCTGTTAAAAGTGAGTATAAGGGTTATTTTATCTTTTGATACCAGCTCTTCTAAAAAGGATCAATTGTTATGTGTCATGAGTTGCTTGGGACTCATAGTGACCTTATGTACAGCAGCTCTGAACCCTGCCCTACCGTGAGCCAGTGATTAGCAATCCCTATATAATAGCACCTGAATATATTTTTTGGGGGTGTCATCATCTAGAGGGTGCTCTGGTGGTGTGCACAGTGAATTGGGCTGCTAATCCAATGGCCAAATGTCTCCTTGTGGTTTGAATCCACTTTAGGAGAAAGATGGGCAGTCTCCTCCCATTGCGATATACGGCCTCAGAAATTCATCTGGAAGGTCACTTAGTTGGGACCAATTCAGTGGCAGCTAACGAGTGAATGACTTGTTCCCCCTAGCATAGGAATGTTCTTTTCGTAAAAGAGCCACAACAAGGCTTTCGTTTTTCTCTGGCTTTTGGTTCATTTTGTTATTTTCTAATTCCATTCACGACATAGCTGTTGGCTACACATCCTTCATGTCCTTTAGAAAATTATTTTGATGGGGTGGGTAAGGGAAGATGAAAGAATTTGTTCTTGGGGGGAAAAAAGACATTCTAAGATTAACCGTTTAAAAAAATCCCAAATTAAAATCTATTGTCCCACTAAAAAAAGCAAAAATTGGTTTTGGAGACGTTTCTTGTTTGGTTTTGCCTGTAAAAACCATTTCCTTTGGTGGTGTTTCAGATGACACGAATGAGTTTAGAGGGTAATACAGAGACATACCTCCTGGTGTTTGTTTGTTTGGAGTGGAAAGAAATCCAGGGTGCTGTATGCATTAGGAGTTCCAAGATAGAGCACCCAGAATAGCACCGGGCCTGGAAGAGGCTTCTAGCAACTAGCCAGTGGACACGGGAAGGTGCTGCTTTGTGGAGGTGGAACGGAGTTGTTGGGATGAAGGGGAGAGGTGATAAATGAATGAGAATTGATAACGACCTTGTAAACCTCAGAGCAGCAAACAGCTGCATTCCGGGAGGCAGAAGCCTGGCGCACAGCCCATCTCCTACCAGCTGTGCTTTGCTGAGACTTGGATAACACTTCATATTCTAGTCCTGCATCACAGCTTGTAAAAAACTGCATTCAGTTTAAAAAACTGCGTTCATTTGGTTGTTGTTAGGTGCCAACAAGTAGAGTCTGATTCGTAGAGACCCTTTGAGCAGCAGCTCAGAACTCTGTCCTATCCTGTGCCGTCCTCACCTTCTCTGACATACATTTTTACCGTCACTGTGTCAGTCCACCTCATTAAGGATCTTTCTCTCTTTCCCTGACTCTTAACCTTTCCAAGCGTTATGTCCTTTCTCAAGGACCTTACTCCTTCCCTAACACATGCCCAAAGCTTCACCGCTCTGTAAACCAAGCAGTGCACCTTAACTCCTGGAAAGCAGATGGAGAACCGGAAGGGTACTTTACATAGTCGGATAGACGAGGCCCAGAGTAAAGACCTTCCGTGGGCACAGAGATAACCCGGAGTTAGTGTTTGACACAAGACTTGTGAAAATGCTATTTAGAGAATAGTGTTTGAATGCTATTCAGAGTAACTTGAGGAGAATTACTATTATTTTTTTCATCAACAATTGGTGAGAAAAGTTACTTACCAGAGTTTTTAATAGTGGTAAAACGACCTGGTGTTGGAAGTATATGCTAACTCTAACACTAAAGTGTTGATATTTAAAAAACAAATAAACAAACAAACAAAAAAACACCCACATCCCCAACCAAAAAAACCTTTTGTTTTTTATTCCCTGTTTATGGTAAGATTGTGCTTTTCAAGGGACACAAATATTCTCTCTCTTACAGAGCTCAGCCACCTGAAAGAGAAAGTCAGAAAAATTAATCTGAGTATCTCAGTGAGCTTAGTTTGGAATATGAACATAATGGATGGGGCCTTAGAACTATCAGTCTTGACTTATGTTTGTTATTGGTATTTTTTGTGTGTGTGACCCCGACGTGTGTTATTAGTATTTTATAACACTGCTTGTACTACCCTGAAATTAAATCCGCAGTAATCTATGTGCATGCACAATTCCAAAAATACTAGAATGCCTTTCTGCCTGTTAATATAAAGGAAGGAGAGAAAAAGTAAAGCAGTTAATAATATTTGAGTATATGAGTCCTTGCACATTATAGCATTAAAAATTGTAATGAAGTCGCGAGAGGTACAAATGTAGGTTGTGGTATGTGGTGTTGAGCTCTCCAGTCCATGAGGGTTGTATGTGTTGGTAAAATTTTCTAAAGTTTTTTTAAAGTAAATGTATGGTCTACCTTTGGTTTATAGGATAGATCCCAATTCTGGAAAATTCCATTTTTAAAATGCACTGTGCATGAGTGCTGTTTGTCCATTGGTCAAACCATGACCAGAAATTTTCAGATATTCTTAAAAACAAGCCGCCTGAAATGTCCATTTGGGGCAGTAAGGAGCCTCTCAAGGCCAGACATCTCCGGAGGTAAATGGACCAGTGGCTCTGCAGGAAAAGGACGTCAGTCCACTCCCATTTTGATTTTCAGCCTTGAAAAGCCAATAGAGGTCACTGTTTGTTGGAACCAACGTGACAGCAGTGAAGGAGGCCAGTGTTGCAGAACCTTGGAGGGCCTAGTGTTCTGTATTGAGATGGTGCTGCTGACCAGAGAGGGGAAATATTTCAAAAGCATTTTATTGGTAATAATTGGATTTATTTTGAACCTTTTTCCCCCCTCCAGATGTCACTTGACACCAGCCGCACATTCGTGAACCGTTTTTATAGAGACGCACTTAGTGGGGAATAAAGTTTTATTCCAGATGAAGTAAAGACTCGTGTGTATTCAGAATAAAAGATATCGGTGCATGTGTAATAAATAGAAAAGGTTTCTCTTACTTTTTAATCTCCTTAAAAGAGAATTGACTTCTCAAGCGAAAATACTAGCAGTGTATTATGCTGGTTCGAACTCATTTAAAAATCAAATTTATGACAGCAGCAGCACAAAGAACACAGTCATGGGTGGGAAAATGAAACTGTTCTCTTGATGTTCTCTTCCTATTCATGTGAAATGGGATCATTTTACTTGAAGGCTGGATTGAAAAAAAAAAAAAAGATACCTATTGGAAATTCTAAGGCAACCACTATAAAAATGGAAACTAAAACCCAAGAGGTGCAGCTAATCAGACAATAGGAAAAAGCCCAGACTTGTTGTTGTGCTTGATGTCTGCTCATCGGGACCCCAGGACAGGGTAGACCTGCCCCGTTTCCAGGGCTGGCATCTTCAGAAGCACACGGTCTCACCTTTGTCCTCCAGAGCAGCTGGTGGCTTTGAAATGCTCACCTTTTGTTTCACAGTTGAATACTTAACCACTGTTCCACCAGGAAGCCTTTGTAAGACAGGTAAAGGTGATACAGGAGAATGCTGAACTGTAGTTCAAACGAAGTCAAAGCAAGAGACAGAAGGAGCCACAGTGTGGTCGCAGGGACAAGTCAGATATGTTCTGCGGTCTGGTTGCCTGTCCCCCCTAACCCCAGAGCAAGGAGTAAGTTGTTGTTGTTGTGTGCCCTCAAGTCAAACCAACCCATAGCTGACCCTCCAGCAGGTTTGCAGACGTAGTAAACGGCATGGGAGGAGATTGCCCGTTCTTCCCCTGTGGAGTGCCTGGTAGATTTGAACCATGTGTCTGTGGGATTGCAGCACAGCTTATAACCACTAAGCCATCAGAACTCCCTTTGGAGTAAGCAGGTGCCCCATATTCTTTTTTATTCGAAAGAATGGTAGCCTTTTCAGAGAACTCCGTTTTCTTTGTATTGGAAATCTTCTGTCAGTACTCAGGAAGTTTCTCACCTCCACCCCTCTCTGCCTCGGCGTCTCTGTTGGTCAGTGCTAGTGGCCACTTGGCACCGGTGTGGATCCCTTCTGTTTGGTATTCCAGGAAAAAGAGGGTCAGTGCTTTTCCTTTGTCAGTAGCTTTGGTGCTTGCCAACATGAGATGTTGCATAATGAAGAAAATGAAACAGGGTTTGTTTGGGTTTGCTGTTGGGTTTGGTTTTAGTGTTTTGGGTTTTTTTGTTGTTTTGTGTGTGTTTTTCTGCAGTATTTCAACGTATTTTAAATACTTTTTTTTTTTACCCTAAATTCAGAGACATGAAAAATGCCGTGATAGGAAACAACAAGCAGAAAGCCAACCTCATTGTTTTAGGAGCTGTTCCAAGGTACGTTTGCTGTTGCCCCCTTTTCTGTCATCCGTACAACATTTCTGCTCAACCATAAAACTTATGTTTATTTTCTGTATTGTCTGTTCTGTTTCAAAAAGCCCTATTGTTCTTAAAAATAATGTGTTAAAGTGTTTTCAATAGCTCTTAAAAATACTAACGTTCAGGAGAACAGAATGTGAAATGAATATTCTTATTTTAGAAATTCAGGAAGGTAATTGGCCTTGCACTGAAAGGTTATTTTGGATAGAAAAACCTCCATACACCAATCTGAGACATTTTCCTCTCCATTTTCTCAGAATCTTGAAAGTTTTTGTGTAATTGAGTGGTAATGATTTCTTAGGATTCTTCAGGTTCTTTTCTTTTTTTTTTTTTAGGTTCTTTTCTAAATTAAAATAAGTAAAAAGCTTGTTTGTTTGTCTGATTTCTTCTGGTGACCTCAGTAGCTCACTTTTGGCAGACCATACTGGTTAGAAGTGGTTCCTCTTTGCCCTTGCTACTCAGCACTGAGGTTTTTAGGCACAATTCTGAAGTTTTTGCTAAAAAAATTTTCAGAATGTTTTGAATTTTTTTTTTTCAAACTTTTTACATCTGTTGCTACAAGAGTAATACTTTCAATGTGTTTAACATACGTCAGTAACTGAGAAGCTCTCAGAAGTCATTCTCAGGGGGTTAGTGTTTGGTATATATTAATGCACTCACTCTTCACCTATCAGCATGGTTGGATTCTAAAGACCAGGTGGTTCAGATGGTCAGCAAACACATGAAGCGATGTTTATAATCATTAGCTTATAGAGATGCAGATTCAAACAACAGTGTGATACTCTCTCGCCCTGACAGTAACAGCAGAGTTTAACACGACAGCAAGCAGCAAATGCTAAAGGTATAGAGAGATTGGAATTCTCATACACTGCTGGTGGGAATGTAAAATGCTGCAGTGTCGTCCACCTCTGGAAACTGTGAACTTTGATAAATGTCGATAGTTGTAGAAGGGCTTCAGGCTTTTTGTTCATACGGTCACTGAGTCTTGCTCGGCTCGAAGGCAATCAACAACAACACCATGAAAAGCAGTTAACACTTCTTAGAAAGTTGGGACTAGAAATACCATTTGAAGCATCATTCCCAGCAGTTATTGATACTGTTGTTAGGTGCCATTAAGTTGATTGTGACTCATGGAGACACTATGAAAAACAGATATAAATGTTGCCCTGTCCTGTGCCATCCTCCCTATCTGTCCTAGCCTCAAGCTGATGGTCACAGTCCTGTGCCAGTCTCTATCGTTGGAAGTGGTCTCCCTCTCTCTGACCTTTTGCAGCATGATATCCTTTTCCAAGAACTGATTTTCCTGCCAACATGCCCAAAGCACTGGTTATGTATGTTGTTGTTGTTGTAGTTACGTGCCATCGAGTTATACACGATTCATAACAACCCTGTGAACAAAAGACCTGAATACTTCTATAACTTTAATTTCTCCAAGTTCATAGAGTTTCCAGAGGGAAGCCCTTTCGGACTGGACGCCACTCCCGCTTCCAGGCTTGTTTTATTCAGGAAGTTCCACCACACACTGTCCATCATGGTTAACCATGATTACATTTGACACATCGGTGTCACAGTGTTTAGCATCAAAGCAACCACGAGTTACCTCTATCCAGCAAATGGACAGACCTGTGCTATACCACTTAGAAGAATGTTTGACCAAAAACAATAAAAATCAGGCCTGAGGGCCGCAGATTAAAATCACCCACCTTTGGCTTAGTGGCATCACTTTAGTCCAGTAGGCCATCAGAGCTCTATGTTGTTGTTGTTAAGTGCCGTCGAGTCGTAGATGACTCATAGCAACCCTATGAACGAAAGACTTGAACACTTGTATAACTTTCATCGTTTCTCCAAGTTCATAGGGTTTTCGGAGGCAAGCTGGTTATATATAACCCAAAGACATTTTATGGAACCATTATTTCTAATGGAGAGGGGGTGACAGAGACCAGTAGAAAAATGGACTCTGAAGATACAGAGTGGTAGAACAGAGATCAGAGAAGACCAGTTATTGGGATTAGTCAGCTCTTCAAGCAAAGGAAACTTTCCATCCCTGTTCACCAGCCCTTCCCTAATCCTACCCAGAGCTGGAGGATGACCACATCATATTACAAACGGCGCTGCCTCGCCCCTGTCACTCTTGCCTTGCACCTTAGCATATTTTTTTAAAAAAGTTTTTCTTTTATATTGGTTTGCATGCAAAGTTTGTGTACATTGTATTTCACACTAGCCTTCTCTTACATTGTGTTCCGTACAGTCCTTCCCATTCATTGTGGTTTATAAAATTAATCACCATCGCACTATGCCCACAATTGCCCCATCTTTCCAGATCCCCGTCAGATCTTTCCCATTTCCTTTATGCCCTCTCTCTACCCACTAACTTGTGCGACTCTGAGATTTCCCCCTTGCCTGTCCTCCCCCTCCGCTCCCATGCCTTCCCCCCTTAGATCCGCATACACGTCTGGTTAGTTAACCTTCTATTTTTACAGTAATGGTCTTATGCAATATTATTTGTCCTTATGAGACTGAGTTAGTTCACTGTGCATAAATGCTTTCCAATCTCTCCCACGTTACGCGGTCATTTCCTAAGCTGTTGCTCCTGAGTGCTGCGTAGGATTCATTCGCTTGCATGCACCGCAGTTTCTCAGTCCATCCACTTGTGGTTGGATATTTGGGCTGTTTCCATGTTCTTGCTGTTGTGAATAGCACACCTATGAACATTGCACCTTGCCATTCTTTGCTACCAGGTGTATGTTAATGCGCACAACAGTTGGAAAATGTATTTTTTTCCCCCTTGTAATAAATGTGAAATATTGGATAACAAGATAATTGGTAAGTGAGGAGCGGATGTTGTGTTTTGGAGAGCCTGGAGGTTATGAGTGGTGGACGGTTAGGATTTAGGGAATAGTTAGTTGAAAAGTTTCCCTTGCTTGTGAAGCTGAGTAACCACTCGAGGCCATTTGTCTCTGATCTCTATTCTGGTTCTCCAGAGTCCATTTTTCCCGTGTATATAAAATTTAGCAGTACTTGACATTGGGGTGTTCTTATTCTGAAGTGACCCGTTCAGAAACGACAGCTATTGTGCACGCTGGTGCTACGATTTCTCACAGAAACAATTTGTGGACAACTTTTAGATCTCCACTTTTGCCCAACTGAGATTATATGATGATGCTTTTGTTCAAAGTTAAAGGGAGAAAAAAATCCCTTCTAAAATTTTTCCTGCATGGTATTCATTTATTGAGTTAACAGCTAGCGTGTGTGTTTGTGTGTGTGTGCCCTTTTTCATAGTACTGTGGTTTTTGGTTAATTTTTTTCATGTTTTCTGTTTATCACGTTCCCTTTTAGGTTGTTGTACTTGCTCCAGCAAGAAACCTCAAGCACAGAATTGAAAACAGAGTGTGCAGTGGTGTTGGGAAGTCTGGCTATGGGCACTGAAAACAATGTCAAGTCCCTACTGGACTGTCATATCATCCCTGCCTTACTACAAGGTACGTAGCCAAGCCAGCTTTTTTATAAGCTTGGAATCCGTTTGTAATGCTTGAAGTAGCACTAACTGGCAAACCTGGTTTCTGTTTGTAGGACTACTGTCTCCAGACCTGAAGTTCATCGAAGCCTGCCTCCGCTGCTTGCGCACCATCTTCACCAGCCCCGTCACGCCTGAGGAACTCCTGTACACAGTGAGTCACATGTGGCCTTGAACTTGACACTGACGTCCCCTAATTTCCTTGGTCTTCTAGTATGCACCGTAACTGTGTTATGGAAAAGTCCCAGCTAGTCAAGATAATTGCTTATTTGCAAATATCTAATATGCCAGGCTACCAAAAGCAGTAACAAGTATCATCTGAATCTTTGCAGAATTTAAAGCTGTTAGAATAAAAAAGTATCCTTTTTATCTCTGCATATAGCAGTGTGCTTCAGGCCAAGTGAGTGATGGAGTATTCAGTTTACTTTACATTAATAGACTTCCTAGAGAAGCTAAAATTTGACTTGAGTCTTTTTATAGTGGACAGGATTTAGAGAAGTGGAGAGAAAAGAGGCCTTTGTGAGAAAGATCGGTGTGAGAGAGAAGATGCAGGATGGTGATACTTAGTCTGTTGTGGAGTTGACATTGCTGTTAGTTCTCCTCGGCAGAGGTGACTAGAACTGGCTTGCAGAGAATCAGGGTAGATCTGAGAGAGTCCAGCAGTGTTTATAGAGTCACTCAGAAATTTCACACGCCTCACGGGATAACAAGGAAGCCTTTTTTGTCACTTGATTGCATGGGACGTTTTCCCCCTTTGTGACATTGTTTTACTTCCATCAGCTGTCCTTAGGACACCCCCATGCAGGACTGCAGGTGATTGTCCGTAACCACCAGGGCCCATGGACCTCTCACTAGATGTCTGGTCTTGTCCTTATGTGATTGAGACAATTCACTTAGCATGTCCTTCAGATGGATCCTGGTCATGCTTTCTTTTTAAATTTTATTTTGTTAATGTTAATGAACATTTACAGAGATTTTGGATTTTCATTCATTCATTGTTGCACTTTTTTCTTTACCCCCCCCCCCTTTCGCCAGTTCCCTCCTCTCTTTGGAAAAGCAAAAGATAAACTTCGTTGGTATACAATCCCCTCCCCATCCCGACCCTGCCCCCTCCCCCACCCCGCCCCAAATGGTTAAGCTTTCTTGACTCAGTGTTTAATTGTGTGTATGACATTTTGCTTATCCACTCAGTTTTTCAAGGACATTTTGGCTGTTTGTATTTTTTCTTTTTCCCTTCTTTTCTGACTAGTGTTGAAATGAGATAGATACCTGTCTTCTTATTATTGAACTTGTAGTGTGTATATCTAGGCGTGAGGTGAATGGATTCTGAGTATTTCTATTTTTGTTTTCTTGAGGAAGTGCCATATCATTTTGCATCTTGATTGCAAGGAATGATTGCATGAACCTTTCTAGCAAAAATTATCCAAGCCTGTGTTTTTGAACACTTAACTAAAATCTAAAGTAAGAAATACATTTTATATTGTCACACTATATACATGTATAAATTTGTGAGTGTATGAATCCTGTAACAAAAGCTTCACAAAGCCATTCCAAAAACATGATTTTCTTGTTTCTATTCTTTATAAACTTTTGTTCCTAAAAAAGTTGATTGTAGTTCTCTGCATTAACACAGAGAATCAGATTCATCAAATCAGGTACACATGAATCAGAGAACTTACCAGAATGAGGCTTCACTAATATTTCAAGACATTAAGTGACATAACTGAGGAGGGGGAACATTTCCTATAATTCCCTCATCCTTCCCTCCTTGTTAGATACAGACTTCTGGCTCTGATCAGTACTGAAAGTTTGTAAGTGAGGCATTCAGGATGCTTCAGACAGCAAGAAATGTCTAAATCACAAAACATCTCAGTTTTATACCTCACAGATGTATCTGGTTTATTGGATATTTTTCAAGGAACTATGCCTCATAAACTCCTAGAACTACTGATTCATTGTATGCAGTCCTGAGTGAGGAAGATTCTGTCAGAGCAGTTTACAGAGAAGTGCTGCCCTTGTAATAAATATCTGTCCTCTCTTTGCTTGTGAAGCCCTTTGGTGGTGTAGTTGATGACATGGAAGTTTGCAGTTCTAAGCACTAGCCATTCCAAAGACGAAAAATAGGGTGGCTTGGTGGTAAGGAGCTTTACTGGAGTCCCAGAGGCACTTGGTTCGAATCCACCAGGTGCTCTGTGGGAGAAAGATGGGCCATCTCCTCCTGCATGATTAAACTGCCTCTGAAAACCCGCTGGAGGGTCCGCTGTGGGTCGGTTCTGACTCAGAGGTACACAACAACAATAACAGCAGCAGCACTGTTGTGGTGGAGGGTGTCGGTGAGTCAGATTGACTCGATAGTCCTGGGTTTGGTTTTTCCCCAAGGTCCTGTTGTCCATGTAATTTACAACCTTAGAAACCTAATGGAGAGTGAGCTCTGAGTCAGTTCTGACTTGATGTTAAGGTGAGGTTCTTTTCTTTAACCTTCAAATCCTTTGTTTTTTAAATAAAAGGAACTCACTGCAGAGCCCCGCAATAAAATGGCTTGGGTTTTGTCTCTTGGTCTGTATTACCCTATGTATGACTCAAGGTCAGAAATAGTTAGAATGTTAGACTTTAAACTACACTGTCTCTGAGGGAAGTCGGTGGTGTAGTGGTAAGAGCTGTTCTGCCATCCTGAAGGCATGCGGTTCGAATCCACCAGCTGCTCCCCAGAAGAAAGATGGGCAGTCTTCTGTGTGACTTGTTGTTGTTTGCGACCCTGTGTACAACAGCCCTAAACCCTGCTCTATCCTGTGCCAATCGCATGGCCTCTGACACACATCCTGTGTGACTTACTGCCCCTGAAAACCCACCGGGGGGAAGTTATAGGTCAGTTCTGACTCAGCAGTACATAACAGCAACATAACATACTATCTCCAAGTCTGAGTTCTCAAGGTTTGTTGTCACACAGTAATTCTGTCCTTACACTATTAACTGTATATCATTTTCTTCACATTTCAGTCTCAAATAGATTGCTGTGAAGAATCATACTGAAATGTGTTCACTTTAGTCTGGGGCTACAGACTGCACATGGAGAAAGAGTGAAGCTTTTCTTACTCTTACAAAGCACCTTGTGTATAGAGACGTTTGGGAAGACGTGGAAGTTGTCATGGATGGATATTGAACCCCCTTTCCTGCCCTCTGCTTAGACAGTGGAAAATCATGTTACTTTCATTTTGCTGTATACTTGAAAGGGACTTAACTTCCTGTGGCGGTAAGAGGTGTGACTGGCCACCTTCTGAAAGCGCGTGTGTCCAGTGTCCTTGTGCTGCCTAAGTTCCTGTTGCTGTGGTCTCCTTCCCTTCTCCCCCAGGACGCAACAGTGATACCACACCTCATGGTTCTGCTCAGCCGGTCTCGTTACACCCAGGAGTACATCTGTCAGATCTTCTCACACTGCTGTAAGGTAAGAGCTACAGTAACGCTGCCTTCAGAAGTGTGCTTCACTGGGCTTCTTCCAGAGGGAGCCTAGGCTTGTTTAAGCAAACTTCTACATTATTTTTTCCCTTTTTCTTTTTATAAATGTAGCATGCCATACATACTATTCTTTACCTAGTTTGGTTTTGAGGTTTGGTTTTTTTCCCCTCTTTTTTAATATACTAGTTTATTTACAAAGTTCGTATACGTTGCTTCTCACACCAGATCTTTCCCATTTCCTTTACCCACCCACCCTTACCCCTTCAAATTGTGTGACACTATGATTAATGCCCCCCCACTCCCCCCAGCCCTTCCTCTCCTCTCCCTTCCTCATACACGTTCTACAATAATGGTCTTAGACAGTATTTGTCTTTATGGGGCTGAGTCAGTTTACTTAGCAAAATGCTCTCCAGTCCCTCCCAAGTTATACACCTAGCATTTTTCACTTAACATATTTCGAAATTTGAGCTGTGGTGCTGGAGAAGAGTATTGAGAGTACCATGGACTGCTAAGAACACAAACAGATTTATCCTAGAAAGGGTCAAACCGGGCTGCTCCTTGGAGGCAAGAATTCTAAGGCTCCGTCTAACATACTTTGGACATGTTGTAAGGAGAGACAGGTCTTTAGAGAGGGACATCATGCTTGGTAGGGTGGAGGGACAGCGCAGGAGGGGAAGACCCTCTATGAGATGGATTGATTCAGTGACTGGGGTAATCAGGATGGGTGTGTCAGAGGCAGTGCGATTGGCACAGGATAGAGCAGAGTTTAGGGCTGTTGTACACAGGGTCGCCATGAGTCCATGAGTCGCACACGACTCGACGGCACATAACAACAACAACAACATATTTTGAAATCTGTTTTTTCTACTAGTGTATTAGCAGCTCACTCATTTTTTTAAACAGCTGGAGAGTATTCAGTTTGTGACGTCAAAGATTTATTTTTCAAAATGAGTTTCCAGCTCCCGACTTTGGCTTTAATCACATGAGTAGGAATAGAGGATGGAGAAAGGAATCATTATGGGATTGGTCAGTTTTTCCTGTCCTACCAACTTAAATGGAGCATGCGTAGTCACAAAGGTGGGAATTTCATGACTAGAAAGGACAAGGAAGCGGAGGGCGCAGTGTGTGTCCTTCCAGGCCAGAGGTTCTTGTACCAGTCAGATGGAATCTACATGTAGCAGCTTCTGCAGAGAACCGATCACTGACTTACTTGCACTGCCACCCCACAGAACCGGAGTCAGGGGCCTTCACCCAAGCTTGCCAGAGGCCCGAGGGAAGAAACCATAGTTGGCAGGACTAAGAGAACGTTGAAACACTTAACTAAGCCATGAGACTCAATGTCAGAGGGCCTGTAGCCATGCTTGAGAAGTTTTGTGGCCTGAGGAATAGTATCTTGCTGCCAGTCTGAATCGTAACCTATTACCTTCCCTAATAAACCCCATAAACTTGAAGATGGTACTTTGAGATTTGTATGGCTGTTGCAATGGATTTCAGACCCAGAACAGCAGAAAGATTGGTGTTGGAGTTTAGTAGAAGTTGGTACAGAAAGTGGGAGACCATAGCTGACTGGGTTTGTATGGTGGATATTGTTGATGGGGTCCTTTAGCCTTTGTGGAGTTAGTAGAGGTCAGACATGGCCGTCCTCCTGCTGCTTACGTTCGTTCACACTACTCTAGAGATGTCCACCAGCTGCTCCTGGGA